TCACTAAGAATTTCTTATGCAGTAATTTATTATTTTATTGAATATTAATTAATTGAACAGAAAATAAATTTGGACTTTGCTGTGTGAACTTGAATTTTGTCTTTTAATCTCAGTTATGTCTTTTCGTTTCATGTGGAAATAAAAATTAAATTCTTAAAGCTAACTGAATTTCACATTAGGTTTTAAGGTTAGTAAGTTCTAAGCACTGGCCCCCAGACCACCTAGCAGGCGAAACCTGCCATATGGCTATGAGGGGACAGGCCAAACTACAAAGGCATAACACACACACACACACACACACACACACACAACAAAAAAAAAAAAAAAAAAAAAAAAAAAAGTAGATACCTACATTCTAAGCGCTCTCTGTGAACTAGTATATAAATGCGTCGTTTCCATTTCTGTCTTTTTTCTGAAATTTAAAATCTTTATAAGTTTTACTTTCAGTTAGTTATTATTATTCAAATCTTCTTTATATTATCAAAATTCATCTTAAATTTATAAGTTACCTCAATTATTTCTGTTTTCAGTATGATTTTCTGCTTTGTTATATCTCGATACCAATATTCTTCTTATTGGTATTTTCTCCCCCCTTCTATCATGCCTTCGTGGTGTAAGGGTCAGCACACTCGGCGCGTATTCGAGAGATCCAGTTCGAGTCCCGGCGAAGGCAGTGCTCATTTTTCACTTCACCAGGATCAGATTAACTAATGACGCTACAGTGGCTCTCCAACTAAAAGAGGTGGAGGATGATGATTCTTCAACACCAGAATTTGGCGATTAAGTTTCCTAATCCCCAGAAAGGGGAAGTATATAAGGTATTTCTTCCTCCTTCCAGCATGCCTTCGTGGTGTAACGGTTAATACACTCGGCGCGTATTCGAGAGGTTCAGGTACAAGTCTAGGCGAGGGCATTGCTCATTTTTCAGTTTTTCAGCATCAGATTAACCTAATGATTCTACAAGGGGGTAAAAGCAATATCTCTAATTGCTTGTTAAAAAATAGCACCGTATTAGATTTTAATGACATACTAGATACATGGTTACTCGTTTGAAATATTTTCAGACACATTTCTTATTAAACTGTCATAGCTATAGCAAACCTAAGATTCAAGCAAAACTCGGAGATTGACCTTTAAGCTGACAAGGGTTGAAATTGTAAAGACTACTTTGTGTAGAAGTCCTGCAGTCTTATGTAAGCTAGTCTTTGAGCTTTTTAGTCCGTTTTTAAAAGTAACTGAATTCCTCATCGAAAGCAGTCGTCCAAAGAAATGGGAACCTCTTGCATATCTTAAATAGCAGCCTTCTTTAAAACGTAGAGGGAAAAAATGATGACTTCTGAGAAACGCAATTGGTTTTCGAAGTGATGCAAGAATTCTATAAGGAGTTGCATGTTGGGTACACTGCGCAAGAGGGTGGGAAGGACAGTTCTATATCTCCCGATCTACTGGGCCGATTGACGAAATTCAAATTGCGTTTTTCATGTCTCGAAAGCGCGACTTAAAATTGACACAAAATTGGACTTTTTTTGAAGTGACATGCTAATGGTTTTCCATATTTCGATTCTACGGCTCAAAGTATGTCTAAATACTAAATATTGTAAAATTTGGTGCGAAATTTACGGAGAAATTCAAAAATTTAACTTGGCGCATTTTTCTCAGTTTACTCCAAGAATAATTCGCTTGGCGAATTTTTTAATTTATAGCGACCTATTTCCCTTTCCTTTTTCTTTCAGTGCAGATGAGCCAAGAAAAAAGTCATCTTTCATATTTTCAAATAATTTTATTAAGTGTTTAAACAACATTTGGCGTTATTAGTGAGAAGCCGTTGGGATGCTTAGCTCGTGTTCATATACGTTAAAAAGAAGCAGACGTAACTTCCTCACTATAGCTGCAGCTATGGTCTTTTATAACAATCTTAGGCTCTATGCATAGCCCCTCTGTGTCAATCAAACGTTCAAAAATCATCTATACGCACGCTTTACTGTGAGAGAAAGTGGGATTACGAAAGGTATCGCTTATAACAAATATGCCAAATTTCGAAACGCGCCAATATGTAAATTCATGTGTATCTCAGAAAAATTTGAATAAAGAACTAATTTTTTGCAGGTGTGCCTCGAAAGACATCTACTTTAGGATAATGTTAAATTTTTTATAGGTTATATATAATTCAAAATTTTTTTCGAAAAATTTATAAAAATTATTAAAAAATACAAATTTTAAAAATAAATAACAAGAAAAGGGGGGGTTATTTGGAATGAACCTAAATTTCGAAATGTGAAAGGAAGAATAAATTAAGTTTAATAAAAAAAGAGATATTAACAAACATATATCAAATTCAATTAACACCGAAGAGCTAAAATTTTGAGAGCTAATTTGTTTAGAAACTACTCGTGCGATTTTTTCAAAACTTGGCAGTTTGGCATAATTTGAGTCGTAAAATCGAAATATGGGGAAAAAAAGAAATAGGCATGCCATTTCAGAAAAAGTCCAATTTTTTGTTTAGTTTAAGTACCTATATTAGAATAATGCTATATATGAATCTAATACATATCCTAAGACGCGCTTTTGAGACATGAAAAACGCAGTTTGAATTTCGTCGATCAGACCAGTAGAACGGAAGATATAGTTCCGCGTTTTTTGCGTAGTGTACATAGGAAAATCCCTGCGGCAGTATTTATTATATGATCGAATCTAGATTACAAACAATCTTGCTGTTTGTCCTCTGCAGGACCTGTCTCCTATTTTAGCTGTTTGTCTTCTGCAGATCATGATTGCCACTGAATTCTGCAAAGCCCGCGTATAAGAACACAGACTTGTATTTCGAGAAGGAAGCAAGTAGTCTTTGCATACCTTTCGTAATCCCACTTTCTCTCACAGTAAAGCGTGCGTATAGATGATTTTTGAACGTTTGATTGACACAGAGGGGCTATGCATAGAGCCTAAGATTGTTATAAAAGACCATAGCTGCAGCTATAGTGAGGAAGTTACGTCTGCTTCTTTTTAACGTATATGAACACGAGCTAAGCATCCCAACGGCTTCTCACTAATTCCATTCGAAGACCGTACATAAATAAAAGCGGAATTCGTTTGAACCTCAATTCTGAATACGCATACAAGCGACCCTGAATATGTAATACAAGCGAGAAAAGTGCTTTGATACTTGGCAATATATTTGTCACGAACTTATAGCGTTTATAATTAGGCCATTGGGTGAAGCTGAATGTAATCAATGGCCATTCAGTTGTTGCACTGAGATGAGAATATCACGAATATCCTTTTGCGAATTATTCTGGGCGATCTTGAATTCAAGGATTCCTAATATACTGGAACGTTGCCAGCGCGAATAAGTGTATGTAAACTCACTAATCCTACAGATCAGCATATGCGAGAGAACATTTACTACAGTAACTGCCAGACATAGCAGTATCGTTTATCATCATTAAGCCCCACGTAGATCTGTTACCTAAGCTTGATTACGTGTAGGTAATGTAAAGCAGTTAATTAAATTGTCCTGCTATGTTAGACTGTACTGCGTTTAGGTATTCGAAGACATTACACTCATATCCATCAGTAGCTAGCAAATGTATTTCTAGGGTTTCAGATTTCAAAATGCAATCTTGAAACATGCTAGATGTATATTAATAATCAGCAGAGTTCATATTCTATTTTGTATGAGATCAAGTGTAAAAGCTTGACGTATTTCGAAATCTGTTTTTATTTTAATGGAATTCCGTCAAAATGATCATTTTGCTAATTGTCACTTGAAGGGAATTTGCATATCCCCTGCTTTATGCATTCAGTTTAGTTTTATAAGAAACAAAAAAATGATATTATGATTGAATTGTGTGTAATGCTTTTGCGAATTTTTTAATTGAACAGTTAAGAAATAACTCTCCAGTAATCTTCAGTTAGTAAAATGTTTGCTGTAATTAAGAAAAACAAAATTTCATGCTTTTATTTATAAACGTCGCAGAGAATGGATTTACTAATTCGGGAGAATTTTCTTAGGATACTGTCTCATGTTACAGATTTAAATCATTGTTCTTGACGATAAATTTGGGAGGTAGTTGCAAGACAAAAGCTGACGATTGTTTTGGGTTTAAAATTCGTTAATACATGGCTGTTAATTAATGTATGTCTTTCCGTTTTTTTTTTTTTGGAAATTCTTTATTAAGTGTATTTGTTTTATTCTTTATCGGCTAATCTTTAGAATATGCTAACAGGTAGTTTGGCGACATTTTAGTGAGGCGATAAAGGTTACTAGCTAGGACTTTAGCAATAATCTGAGAGGTACACAGTTCGAATCATTTTGTCTCAGAGAAATGAGAGATCATGAGACATGTAATGTGACATTTTCCGGAAAATTCCGATCGTGATTTTAGCTAATAAGCACTTAGAAACAATTTCGCTGCTAAAGTGCAGAATCGCCCACTTATTTGTTTGGCGCTTTTTACAAGAGTAAGAAGAATTGGATTTTTGTCAATTTTCTTTGACTTTTTAAGTGAAAATAGGTCGATGTGTACGTAGATAAAGTCAAGAGTGTGCTCAATGCCATTTTTGTGCAATTCTGGGATTTTTTTTTTAAAAGTGAAAATAGGTTGACGTGTATGTGCAATTGTTAAAAACGCGGCAAGCAGTTTGGGATTCTGCACTTTCTCTCAATTTCTCACCTGATCTTCGTCATGATTAAGCATTTTTGTTCCATAAAAGTTGTAGTATAAGCGTAATTCGGCTAGCAGATTGTTAGAAAAAATGTTGAGTTAAAAAGAAAGAAAAAAAAAAGAAAAAGAAAAAGAAAAAAAACATGCCTTTACTTCGTGAAAACAAAATGGCGTCCAAAACAAAACTAGCAGGTTGCTGTAGCAGGGTTGGTCGCCAAATGTTTGCCAAAAAATCGCCAAGTTACCATAATGTTAAAGATTCACCTCTTTTTATCATCAAAGAATAGTATTTGCCTATATAATTTCACGTTGTGTTTATATTTACTCTTTTCCTTTTAGCTCTCTTGATATCCACCGGCTGTTGCATTTACCCCAATGGCTGGTCAAGTCGAGAAGTGAAGGATGTCTGTGGACCAGATTCTGACGCCTATAAGCTTGGTAAGTCGTTTTTTTACTCAGATTAAATCCTTACTGTCTCTCAACAGCCGTTACTTTTTTAAAAGGTCTTTATTTTTGAATTTGTAAGCTAATATTTTTAGTCCAGTGCGGGATACATATAAGCTTTTATGGTAAATAAATATTGCATTGAATTATGCAACATTTATTTTTACTTTGTAGTATCTTCTTGAAACCTTGTGTCATATGCGCAGTCTAAAACTGAAAAATTTAAGATAATATGTCGCATATATACTAATTTTACACTTAATAAAATCACATTTACGTAATTCAGTATATGTCAATATTTAATTTATCTTTCTTATTAAACAGGTATATACTTGTACTTTTCGTAAAATTCATGATCGAATTCTACGAGATCTTTTATTATGTATAACACGGTAATTTATATTGCTGAACGTTATTTATGACTGTCAGTGGCGTAGCTAGGGTGGGGCAAAGGGGGACATTTGTCCCCGGGCGCAGCATCCAGGGGGCGTCAAATAGATGGTACGAAATTTTAGAATGAAGTGTTTTCCATTCGTGGCACACAGAGAGGGGCGCAAAATCTTCAGATGTCCCCGGGCGCTGAAAACCCTAGCTACGCCTCTGATGACTGTACCAAGAAAACGGTGATAACAAAACTGTTCGGTATTTAATAGAATTATCTGAGTTTTCGTTTTAATGTATTGAGCATTGTGGGTAATATTGTGAAAGCAACATGAACCATACATAAAGGGTACATTAATTATATAAGTTTCAGTCTAGCTACTTCTGAAACAGCTTCTCTGCCTGATGGTACGTCAATGTTAGGCACTTAACTGGACATATTGCCTTTATAAAATGACTATATTACATATGAATATCTACATATTGCGAATATAAAGCAAATAAAACTGACTTTATATCAAACGAATAATTTACATACTGAAAAGAAAAAGAGTGAGATTGTATTTTACTTGAATTTCGTTCAAGATTCCTTAGATATTATTGAAATGTGGGTAATTTATCCTTTCGTCTGTCTCAATAGAAATCTCAATTTTAACCTTTATACAGTTACAGAACTTCGCATAAATCGATTGCCAAAAATAAGATTTTTAGTAATTTCCGCAGATTTTTCTCCGTAAATAACTCTTGTAGCGAAAAGAACTTTTTAGAATGCCTTCAATCATGCCACAGTAATTTTATTGACCGAAAGGCATAATAAACATTTATGCGTAGGCAGTATAATTTTCTAGGTTTTTGTAAAATCTGAACTTCGGCTATTAGACGAAATTCGTAGAAATTGGAACTCTTATAGGATGTATACGTATATGTTTAAACTTTAATAATCTGTTAACAAGGTACATAATTTGTATAAGAAATGCACTCTTCTCCGATGTATTCATCCACTCCGAAACTGGAGCTATTATCCTTGATGGATTTTTCTGACTTATTGACGTCTTTGCAGCGTTTTCCTTCCTCGGGCAAGCCAGTGTGCTATGACCTCTACGACTAGCACTCTCGCAAATGAAATATAAATGGATTAGCACAGTACCCTTTAACGCTTTACGAGTTTCATCCATATTTTTCAATATAAATTGAAAAACTCATTAAAAATGCATGCCATCGTCGTAGATTTCTTGCGAGATCAACTCTTTATTTCGTTCGGATACGATTACAACTCATTATTTTTTTCGGATACGATTACAACTCGTTCGGATACGATGTGTTCCATATTGAAAAAAACGTCGCCTTCGATGTGACAGCGAAATCGTCTAAAGAAAGCCGCTTCGTTTTAGCTTTCGCTCTGATTAGTCGACGCTTATCCCAAACTCGGTGTAAAGTTGAAATCTTGGAACCCTATGCCACGAGCCCTAAACCAGATTCTGCAACAGCAGTGGCTGGTTGCCTTTGGCGACGGAGCTCGGCTTTTACCGCTTATGCCCTTTACGCCCTCGTCTGAACGGGGCCTTATCCTCGTGGGGTTCCCTGTTAAATGCCCAGCGGGGCCATGCGTTGAGATGGTCCTGACCAATACCAAACATTCACCCCTAAAATGTTACCTTATAACGTCTTGTAGACTTGGGGTAGCATAAACGAATGAGGCCCGGAAGACCGTGTGAAGAATTATCCTGAAGTCCAAAGAAGTGTCTAAAGAACCCTTTATTCGGTTAACATAAGTTAACATATGGCCTTACTTGGACGTACGCAAAAGCCAACACTTCTGGCTTAACTCAAACAAGTAACGATCAGCTTATAGGCGGCTAGGCTCACGGGATAATCTAGTGCGGTGGAAGGCTCTGAGTTGTAAAAGTTGGCGTAAACAAGCTTAATGGCTAAAACACTCAGCACCACTGAAATATAATCGCTAGTAATTCAAAATAGAAACGTGGCCTTCAAGCAAACATACGCTCTAAAATCACCTTCCTTAACTTTCCCTTAAATAGTACTTCCTGTCTCATTTGAATACACGCGCGCTAATTTATTAACATTCTGGCTAGAAAGCGTGGGTTAAAATTAGAATCAAAGTAAAGTTGCTTTTAAAATAAAAATTAACTGTTAGATAAATTAAACGAATCTCCACAACCTTAAAGCTATGATGCGACTTATTGCCTATCGCTTAAATTGATAGTGAAAGCACACACGCTAAGAAAGTAAAATGTTAACTTTGTTTTATTCCGTTACATAGTTTATATAAATAAAATGTAAAGTAAAAAGTTTCTTTCACCTTTCACCATATTGTTTGGAACTATATTTCATCTGGGTCTAATACTAGTGTTTCTGCTCAAAGCTATAATACACTTATGTCAAGCAACCGAAATCGAACTAGAAACTCACTTACCAATTTGAGCTAAAGTCCGACAATAATCTTACTTAAGCAGCGGCTTTCTGGTGTAAGGAAAGATCAGCGTCAGAAACAACAAACAAGCATCTCTATCTGTTAGAAAAGTCATGCAGTTAGCATTCTTCTTCTCGATTTAAAGTTTGCCGCTTGCCAATCAAATCTGCCTAAACCTTTGAACTGAGCGAGTACGTGACGAAACGAGACATAAAAGAAAGGTGTAAAATAAACTTAGACTATTAACTAAACTCAAATGAAATGTCACAAAACAATGTATTAAACAAAAGATGTATTTTGCGTAAAATATTTTACTAAATTATGCGAAATAACACTGAAACTTTAGCAGAATCAAAGATTGTAAATAACATTTGACAAGAATTCTGCTGGAATGTGTGCAATAATTTAGAAATTCGACTAGTCAATTAACCAAGAAATATGGCAGAATATTGCATTTGTATCCTTTTTTTGGGGGAAACTAATTAATAATTTCTAGAATTAAAATCGAAATCCTATTCAATGTTTTGCATTTCTCGCATGCAGAAAAAGTGTCTTTCCTTGAGACGTGTTTGGTAAAAAGCTGAAACTGGAATGAAAGCTACTTGACAATCTTGAAAATATTAAGAAAACTGCCTATATGAAAGTTTTACATTGCAAAACCCCCAAGCAGAAGGAAAAAAAATATAACTGCAAGTGCATTTGAGTAGTCTGAAATCTTCCGAACTGAATATCATAAGCTTGAAAATTATAGATGTTTTTTAGATCCCTTGAGTGTAAACATGATCAATTTATCTAAAAAATAAAAATAAGAAAGAACTTTTTAAGCCAGTAGTTACTATGCATTGCCTTTTTTCCCTCCGGAAAATTTATCCGGCTTCAAATCCGCTCCGAGAAAGTGATTCGTCGCTATTCAAAATCTACTCTCACTAGGAACGTGCCAGGTAGAAAAAGATACGAAAATTCAATTTTCCATTCGTCTTGTATTCCTTACTCGAAGCCTCGAAAATGCTTAGGAGTCTGGAATTTCTATCATTGAGAAATCTTTTCTACCTTTTCGAACCTTGAAAAAGCAGCAGCTTTTCCTTTCCTCGTGAAAGTTTTCCTCTTAAGCACGTGACCAACTAGAGCACTTATTCTCCGGAAAACTCGTAAACTTCTACGTAATTTCGCTGTTGAACTCTCACCATTCTAGGGAGTGCGTTTTCCCTAAACGTAGTTGCTTGAACTGGATGGTACCTCTCGTAAAATGAAGATTGAAATTTCCTCTTTTGCGATGCGATGGAGCTCTCTTAAAGGTAGATACCATCAATATTGTTATATCCGTTTCTTTCTTCTGTATTAATACTTTACCTGGTTTTAAGGTAAGTCAAATAATCGTGAAAATATCTGAATTCGGTAGAAGAACGTTGAATTCTATAGCGTAACTAGTTTTGCGATTATTTGTCTCAATATGCACATTTAGTACGAGTGGAGTAAATGTAAAACGCGTTTGGTTATTATGCACACGAAAGGTGCCAAAGGTTATTTATTTGTAAAAATAAGAGTAACTTTTTATATAGTCACTTCAGAGAAAATGTTGCAATTAGTAAAATACTCTTTAAGCATTAATGAGTTGAAATTTTCCATACACTCACTTCCAAAATTCGTGCGTATACGAGGACACCTCGGAAATTTTGAGATACACGTAGGTTTTTGAAGTTATACTGATGGAATTTTAGGAGTGTTTATAATAGTCTTCTGCAGCATCAATGCACTTCTGTAGGCGAATTTTCCAATGGTTAAATACCTCAAGTCATTCATTTCTTGGAATGAATTAAAAAAATGCATTTGTAGGCTCATCGATTTCATCTTTGGAATGAAAACGATGTTCGCGAGGTTTTTTAGATTACAAAATAGCCAAGCCACACATAGCTAGATCGGATGAACAGGGTGGATGTTCTATCACTTTGATGTGTTTTTGTAGAAAACAATCTACTGTCGACCTGGCGTAATGAGGTGCATTGTCATGGTAGAGCATGAGTCCTCTAACATTCATTTCTTGAAAAATTTCTGGAAGATACTTAGTGTTGTACCGGTTAGCTGTGACTGTCTTCTGTCCTTCCAGCTTGATGGCTTTGACCAGTCGTGTACTTGTGAAGAAAATAGTGTGCATTACTTTTTTTCATGGCATGTTTTCTTTTCA